GCCATCTTGAATACCAGATTTTGATGGAAGAATCAGAATCTCCGACTTCAAAATCCTCCAGATACAAATTTTGAATAGAATCGGATCATAATTACAAAACTCGTTCACCATAATGAATCCGCCATCTTGAATTTCCAAATTTTGACGAAAGAATCATAATCTCCCACCCAAAAAAGACCCAGATACAAATTGTGAATATAATCTGATAATAACTACAAAAATCGTCCGCGATATCGGATCCGGCATCTTCAATTTCCTAATTTTGACGAAGGAATCATAATCTCCCAGGCAACCAGATGACGAATGGTCACGTCACTGTGACGTACCGTGATATTTCGTCAGAGACGTCACACACCAATTTCCGACGTCACTATGACGTACTTCCTATGGCGTGATAATCACGTCATCATTACGACGTGTTGGTTAGCAAATTAGTTCACGAGCGTGATCATGTCTGACGTCAAAACATTTTGTCTGCGAAAGAGCTTCAGAAAATAGCAAATATCATTATGGAGGGCCAAGAAGATGATAGACTTATTTATTCGAATGAGGAAAGCGACGAGGAAGATGAGATGAAGAAATTCTATTAAAATTTCAAATTAATGTCGCAGAACACGTCATCATTACGTTTTGGTTAGCAAATTAGTTCACGAGCGTGATAATGTCTGATGTCAAAAACTTTTGTCTGCGAAAGAGCTTCAGAAAATAGCAAATATCATTATGGAGGGCCAAGAAGATGATGGACTTATTTATTCAAATGAGGAAGGCGACGAGGAAGATGAGATGAAGAAATTCTATCAAAATTTCAAATTAATGTTGTAGAACACGTCACCATTACGAAGTTTTGGTTAGCAAATTAGTTCACGAGCGTGATCATGTCTGACGTCAAAAAATGTTGTCTGCGAAAGAGCTTCAGAAAATAGCTAATATCATTATGGAGGGCCAAGAAGATGATGGACTTATTTATTCAAATGAGGAAAGCGACGAGGAAGATGAGATAAAGAAATTCTATTAAAATTTCAAATTAATGTAGAACATCGCAACTTATATTTTTTTTTTTTCGATGTACGAGCAACTTGAAATTTTTGGTACCCACATTGAAGCGCCGTACGTATTCTAGACTGTCCTAGAGGCTCAAATTAGTGCGTATAGAGGCAACCTCATTATTATTCAGCATACTGCGTAACGATAAGGAGAATGCTGTTAAAACTTGCAAAGTTATTGAGAAATTTCAAAATGAAATCTTCCCCTTCTAAACCAGCAACATTTTTATAAGGTATGTTCGGCTGAATCTTCATATTTTGATGTTTACTATCTGTTGTTCAGATTGCCCATTCTCAATTAATCACCCTATATGAACTCACTGCGCCAGTAAAGGAGCACCTCACCAGAATGTGACTTTACAATGGCGATGCAAGCTGCAGACTATGTGGAAAGGAACCAGAAAAAGTGTCACATGTACTGTGCAGATGCGAGGCATTGGACCGCGAAAGACAAAAGATTTTTGGCCAACTAGTCGGCGAACCAGAAATACAGGGTGGCATAGTAGCCAAGTATTTTTGGTTTGGGTAGTACTCGGCCATTAGATTAGATTAGGTTAGATTCATTTCTCAATACAGTGAGTGCAAAATAAATAAAAATCTTTCAAGTCAAAGCAAGTTCCTAAGAACATTTGAGGTAACGAGAGAGAGAACAAATAATGTATACGGGTGTGAATTTGAAAACTTCCAATGTGAATATCTCGCGAAAGAAAAAAGTTAGAAAAACGCCGTTTGGCAAAAATGCTAAAGAGTTAAGGGGAACTAGAACCACCATATTTCGGTCAAGGGATGAGTCACCCCGTCGGCGCGACACACCCCAACTTTGAAATGTCAAATGACACTACCTTTTTTGTGATGCCTCAAATGAACAGTCTCAGTCAGTAGTATTCACCTGTACAAGACTTTTTTTCCACCCACTACAGGGTGTACGAAAAATATAAAGTCGAATAAAATAAAATGAATTTTGTTAAAAGGATATTTTATTTGATCAGATGTTCAAAATGGATTCCATTCTGTTGTAAGCAATAGTATAATCGATGTTCAAATGCCATTCTAACATTTCGGAACACATCTCTTGGAATATATCGGCATTCTGCATTTTATTTTATTCGACTTTGTTTTTCGTTCACCCTGTAGTGGGTGGAAAATAAGTCTTGTACAGGTGAATACTACTGACTGAGACCGTTCATTTGAGGTATCACAAAAGAGGTAGTGCCATTTGACATTTCAAAGATGGAGTGTGTCGCGCCGACGGGGTGACTCATCCCTTTACTGAAGTATGGTGGTTCTAGTTCCCCCTAACTCTGTAGCATTTGTGCCAAACGGCGTTTTCCTAACTGTTTTATTTAGCGAGATATTCGCATTGAAAGTTTTCAAATTAAGACCCTCGAATTAATGTTTTTCGTACACACTGTAGTGGGTGGAAAAAAAGTCTAGTACAGGAGAATACTACTGACTGAGACCGTTCATTTGAGGTATCACAAAAGAGGTAGTGCCATTTGACATTTCAAAGTTGGGGTGTGTTGCGCTGACAGGGTGACTCATCCCTTCACTGAAATATGGTGGTTCTAGTTCCCCTTAACTCTTTAGCATTTTTGCCAAGCGGCGTTTTTCTAACTTTTTTATTTCGCAAGATATTCGCATTGAAAGTTTTCAAATTTACACCCTGTATAAATTGGAATTGAAATTTGGCCATACTGTGAGTATAATCTTCATAAGAAATGATTATTTATGTGTAGGTATTGGCTTTTGTAAATTTGATGAAATAGATATTGATAAAAATGAACATTAATATTGAAGTTGAAAATACTATTGACTGTTGTTTGAAAAAAAAGTTATAATGAATGTTTGAAAGTGAATATTGCTTGAGTGATTTCTTGAAGCGATTCAGTGAGAAAATTTCTGTAAGTGATATCGGTAGGTGATTAAAAATTTTTATACCCATATATAATGGTCCTTATCTGTTAGCCTCGTAGATAAACATTGGTTTCGAAATCAATCTGTTATCACGAGTATTATAGCAATGTATTTGAAATTATGTTTTCTTTTGAATGCTTCGATTGTTTCTCGGTATATATAAAGGTTGGTGAGAGTAAATAACATCAACTTGGCAAAGTGCTCGCGACATGAGTCTCGTCTATTTAAACCTTACATGGCCCGTATAGTTTTTTTTCTAGAATAAATATGGAATTTGAGTTTCCCCAGAATTTAACTTCGTAGTTCAGAATACTGTAAAAATACGCAAAATAAACTGTTTTGGCAGCAGCGGTGCCGATATTAATACTAAATGTGGAAATTGCGTAAACGGCGCTTGCCAGTTTGTTGTTGATATAGGATATGTGATATTTTCAATCCAATTTTGCATCCATGATAAAGCCCAAGAACTTCGTATGCGTCATTAGAAAATGGGCGGGGCGCGCGGTTGATCACAATCCATTCTTCGACTCGAAGCATTTCACTTTCTCTGAATCTCTGTTGCCACTTGCCATCATGGGGCTGTGGACGCTAGAGCAACGCGTGTTCGTTATTGTTATTTCACAAAAACTTGATTCCTTTGCCCCTTCTTCTAGAAGTATACAAGAAAAACACACTGACTAAAGAGTTCACTGAGAAACAAGTAGAAGAAAGACATGCTATTTTCCTAACCAAAGCTTCTGAGAGGTGCAATAGAAGACTATAAGTGAGTTCACTGTTCACATAAAATCCAGGGACACATTCAGCATTCCTCATTGATGACTGTGGCCTAAGTGTCATCGGAGACATCGGTCAGACAAGCCTACAAGTTCGAATCCGTTTTGCTCAAACATATGTATAGGGTGGTATAGGAGACCAATCAGAGCGATTTTGGCAATGGCAGTGAATCGAAATCACTATTGGTGACGGTAAATTCGGATAACGAGTGTTTTTACATCATAGTAACAGCCAATACCCTCAATTTGCGCAGAATCAAGACTACTGAAAATTTCCGGACGAGAGCTTCGCTCACGACTGAACCTGAAAAAACATTGAAAAAGCGTTCACCATCGGCCTCAACAGTTACAGTTAGTGTTCTGTGACCAAATTTGTTGTTTCATGTCACGTGTTTGTCACAAAATGTAAAATGTCAAATTTGACAAAAATACTTGAATTTTTTTGCTGTGGACATCGGAAGATTCTATAATAATCCAGTAATATCTTCAAAGGCTGGTTCAAAGTGGGCCTAACAACATTTTTCATTTATCACAGACAAAATATATCCAAGTTTCCGCAAAATAAAGAAGGGGTTGAAGAGTCTCGATGACGATGTTGGCAAATAACAATACAAAAATGAAACTATTAAAAACGAATACTTTTAAGCTGCAATCTGCAATGGAATAATATTTGGGGGAAGAAGAAGAATACCCATCTGATTGAATACTTCGAATGAATCTGTGATTTTGTGTGGTTGTTCATTGAAAATGTATGTATTTCAATTTCAATGCTGAGGTTTCCATTATTTGTAATACATACCTATTATTCGAAATGAAAAAGATTTACTTTTCAACTAAACTTGAATCAGCTTTTTCATCAGCAATTTCATCATTCCATTTATGAAATCCAGAAAAGCGTTTCAGATCAAACACTATCCAAACCCGTAAAATTTATATCAAATAATATATTATCTAATCATCTACATATTCTTGACATAACCTGAAATAATACTAGAAATTGGATCAAGGAATGCTCAAGGTACCTCTTTACCTTCCTTGGAATTGACATTTCCTTAACGCTTCGACTATAAACCTGAAACTGGACCTTAAGGATGCCTTAAGGGACGAGGTCACCTTAAGGAGCGACTATAAATACGGGCCTTAAGACTCATATGATGTCCATAAAGGATTTCAACCACCTCGACAAACAAAAAATGCACTCACCATACAGCCAATCGTCTTTTTCGAAGCTGAACTTCTCTCCCCCATTTGAAGTGGGTATGATGGAGACTTGGGCGGTCTGGCAAGCCTTGTTCGCCTCGGCATCGCTCCTCACGGCCTTCTTGTCGACCTTCGTTATCTCGATGCCGGGCAGCCCTGACAGGATTTCCTGCGCGTTGAAGGGCGACACGACTTTAGGGGTTTCTTTTACAGGAGGCGGGGTATACGAGTTCTGAAAGTGATGATGATACTAATAATTATGCGGAACAACATTGCTAATGCTGATGCATATTAGTATTTAATTGTGGAAATACTACTAATAATGATAATAATAATAAATTTCTTTATCTTGAGAAATAATTACGATACATAGCATGTACATTGCATGTAGAGCAACATTAAATAAAATAGACACAGTTGAGAGAATTGAAAGAAACATCATTCCCCCTGCCCCGTCTCCCAAAAAATTGCACCGCATCGTTTGATGACGCAGTGTACACGGTATCTCGGGATGAATTCCAATTGTATGTGATCAATTTTGTATTGAAATTGAAAGTAAAGATATTAGATGACATCAATGAAGTCTCATTGAATTTTTGACTCTTCCATTAAAGACGTCGTAAATCAAATGAGTGCAGCTGTCAGCGGCACGATTTTGATTTAGAAATATCTAACGCCCGACGGAGACTGAGGTGACTAATATATTAATTCTTTCAATTGTGCCATAAAATTCTTCCATTTTATATGGTTCCAAGCTTATCAAAAAATTAAAAATTTGTTTTTTATATCCAGTGAGATTATTGATACATTTTATATGTTCTGGCAATTTGTTGAATCATTCGATTAAAGAGTACAGTGCCCCATTTTCCAGTTTGAAGACTATATTGAATAAATATAACCAATTGGACAGCAACAAAGTCCGATACCAGATGGAGTAGCTCCAATATTATTGAAGAAATGCAGATTTACTGCATCTATGAGCTTGGGAAAATCTGTAAGTTAGTGAACTTCTAGTTTCATCTCGCCAACTTTCAAGGCGGGAGATAAACCGAACATGAAAAATTATCGACCAATAACAAACCCGAGTGCAATTCCAAAATTAAAAGAGAATTTGATCTTTCACCAACTGAGAACACTTCTTAGTCGAGTGATTATTCAACAGCAGCAAGGTTTTTGTTAAAGTGAATCAACAACAACTAATTTCATTTGAATCGGCCTTTACTTAATGAAAACATATTATAACAATGAGGGAAAAATTCACCTGAGTATTAATTTTCACAAATTCACCTGTGCAGCCGACAATGGGCGGGTTATACACACTACTCGATTCTATGCCATTGATCATTCCACGTAATTAAAGTATTTGATACAGTCATTCATTATTTAAAATCAACACAAATATTCTTTTCATTGAACAAAATAATCGCCTCTCAAAAACGCTAAGTGTGACGTGACATACAAGCACTATTAGTGTTTCATTGCACAAAAACCAATGAAAATGTTTCTACATAAAATAAGAATTTACTTTTACAGTTCCATAAGAGCAATCATGAAGGATCCAAATAGGATATTTTTTTGCAGAACGTTAATGTCTGAAGCCTCAGCCACAGGAATGGCACTCGAATCTAGTAGGTATTTATCAATAACGACTTGTCATATGCTGTCATTGTGACTAGATTTTAATTAAAATTGAATATGAGTGCTTTCATTGTGACATAGGTCCACATTTCAGTTTCGCTGAACTATAATGATTGAAATATATTGCTAGTGGTGAACAAAAATGAATATACACCTTGGCAGTAAAGAATATCATTAAGACGGGACCTTATACCCCTCGGCTGAGGCTTCAGGATATAATCTTGGTCCCTGAGTAATAATGATATTCTCTACTGCCTTGGTGTATAAATAATTATTTCCCACCACTGAGTATAGAACCTACCCTATTTATTCCTTTTCAAGACGTGAACTGTGTTATCTCTAACAAGATAGTAAGTTAATGAAGACATTGCCACCACTGTTATAATTTATCCGAATTCGCTGTTCTGATGCGATATTCGCAAGAGGAATGCCACTCCAACCTAGTAGGTATTTATCCATAACGTCATTTGCTGTCATTGGCATGGCTATTAGATTTCAACAGAATTGAAAATAAGTACTTTCATATTCACAATAGGTACTTATTTCAGTTTCACAGAACCATAATGATTGAAATATATTGCTAGTGTTGAAAAAAATGTTGGGAAACTGGGGCAGATTGATACAAAAAATACATGGTTATCAGAATTTCTTGTGAAAAATTCTGAAAAAAATATGAACAGACAGTCAGGCTATCATGTATGATTGTATATTATTGAAAGTCCGTTGAATGAAAGATATGTGTTCAGCAATATTATCTTGGGAACCTGTTTTTGTTTTATTGAACCCCATGCTTGAGGAAGGTTACTTGATGCTTTCGTAGGGGGTAGGTTGAAAGATCCTTTTATTGCAGGAAAAACTGCATATTTCAGTTTCATAAAATAAGAAAACATGTAATAAAAATGAGTTTACTTAGAAAACGCACGAAAAATATATTCACAATCATATGAGACAGTCACAAATATAAAAAATATTTCAAAAAACCTAAAAAATACATTCTATGAGGAATTGAAAATAAACAATCTTTCAATTCGAGCTAAGAAGGAAGATGATAACTGTGTCTAAGGAATCCTTATCGTACATCCTGGCTTGAAAAGTCGATTCAAAATTTCAAAAAGATATTGGCCTTTTTGTATTCTTTCTGTTGCTAGGTGGTGGAAGGATCAATTCAATATCTTTCAGAGTACTGATGCAAGATCCTCAACTAGAGGAAAAACGAAAGATCCTTTAACTGTATTGGAGCGCCACAATATGATGTTTCGTAATCTTTATCAGCTTTTGTTATTTTTCCCACATAATAAAACTTGTTTCATCAAAGAATTCCACTAAAACAAAATCTCCTTCACTCACTGTCTCAATATTCTCGTCAGATTCGGCAAGTGAATTATCTTCAGATGATTCTGAAGCAAAATCTAGATCCGAGTCTGAATCTTCATCTTTGAAAGAATCAAAAACCTTGCGTTTTAGTTTTCTGGTGTGAATTTTTTTTTTGGTTGCTTTTTCTAGAGCATCTTCGGCTCTGATTTCAATCGCAGTTTCTTCTGGGGTATCTCTGTATGTATCATACTTCTGCCTTTCTATAGGTTTTGTGATTTTTTTCCTAGGAGGAGCTTTGGGATATCTTTTCATTTCCACAGGTGTGATGAAATTTTTCGTGATCGGTTCCTCTGAAATGCTCAATGTCGTATCGTTCACACTATTGTCAGCAATTTTACTGGGACTCGTTGATGAATTAGTTCGCCAACATCGACTGCTGATGCCCGATCAGAGCTACTTGTACAACCAACGCTGGTGCTGGCTGAAGCTTTGTTTTGCACATCATTTTGCATTTTGTCCAGTCGATCTGTAACGAAGTTGCACACAAAATCATCTTCCGTGAATATATCTCTATTGCACGGAAAAATTCCGCTACGTTCATACCCCTTAGGTACGTTCTCTGGTGTTAGAGATTTTTGGTGAGCAAAACGTACACGCCCAGGAACTTCGTAATTAGAGATAGTTCTGCCAGGATTATACACTCACCAGCAAAATAATTGATCCATTCAAAATATTGATGAAATTTGATCAACAATAACTTCGTTGATTCAAGGCTGATTTGTTGGTTTTTTTATTCCGTAGGTAAATTCAAAAGGAATCTCACACAGAGTTGAGATTTCAAGAAATGAGGCATATATCCAAATTATACTGAGAGACACAAAAAGTGCATTTTTACTTCAATTTTAAAACAATTTCTGAAGTGGCTGAGCTGGTACATCCTCTAATTTATCATTCAATTATCAAGCTATGTTCATGATGTTTATGATCACGTATGTTTTCTTGCTATGATAACTGATTTTTTGTGAAAGTTACATGAGTTTCAGAAAAACTTTACATTTCTATATTATGAGAATAACAAACTACTGAAAATTAGCAATGATGAACATAACGAATGGACCCTGAAAATCAATTTCAAAAATGCAATTGGGCTACTAAACTCATTTCCCTCACGTGTACGAATAACTGCTGCAATTCTTTACATAATAATAATAATAATAATAATAATAATAATAATAATAATCATTTATTTCCTTAAGACAGTTACAAACCATATGGAAAAAGTCAGTTGCTCACATTCAACATGCCCATTATCCGATTCTGAATATACGCCTGATCGATTTGCTGCCATTCTTCAATAATCAGAACTTCACTGAAATGTTGTAAATTTGCAGGAGCTGGTAAACGAGATCCTAATTTCCTCCCAAGAGCATCCCAAACATGTTCAATTGGGTTCAAGGCTAGGCTTCGAGGAGGCCAATTTATTACTGGGATTTCAACATCGACTAAATACTCATTAACAATTCTTGCAACATGCGGTCGGGTATTGTCATGCATCAGCGTAAAATCATCAGTGATCGACGCAAATGGTGGTTCTTAAACGTCTCTTATATACCTATCGGCTGTCATGGATATCATTTCCACAATGACTGAGTCCGTCTTAGCTTCAAATTCTTCGGTAAATTCTTTCACGTCCACCCGGTGATCTGAGACAAAACCTTGACTCTTCGGTGAATAGGACATTGTTCCATTGCTCTTTACTGCTAGGAACTGTGCTGGTGGCCGTATCCACTACCCACTAGCGTTGTTACGCTTTTTTTGTGTGCTTGGTGGTATCACAAAAATTTCAGTTCATCGGTTTTTCCTTTTTTTCAGTGAAATATTATTAATATACGTGATTTTCAGATGGAAAACGGTCGCGAGAACGTGGTTAGGAGATTCGAGACATTCAAGATCAAGAGTTCGAAAAAAGTGTCGATAGGATTGGGAGATTGAACTACCGACTTATTACTCTATCTCGGCCGTGAGCCCACCATGTACTCACGGCGTCGGGGTGGGGGTAGCCTCAGGTGACTCCAGACACCGCTGGTTAAAAGCTTGAGGTCCTCACTCTTGTCATGGTAGCGGTACGTGTGAAAGGCCGCAAACGAACACCCATCAAACGGGACCAGAGGATTCTGGTCGACATGGGTAGCTGGGCTTGCTCAGCGAAATCTGGAACTTTGGTATACCTTGTGCCTTAGTTCGTCAGGGAGAGGGTAGCCCCAAGCGATCCTATCGCCAGGCATCATAGGTAAAGCCGGGTCCTCTCCTGTTAACGAGGTAGAGGAACGTGTAAAAGTCCTCGAACGATCACTCATTCAACGGGACGAGAGAATTCTTGTCAACATGAGTAGCAATCAGGCGAAAGCCTTTTGCGACGGCGACCCATCAAACGTAACAAGAGGAATCTTGTTGACATGGGTACCTGGGGTGATGAGGATAGCCCCATCAGGCCGTACATACGGCCTGGTGCCTCACCAATTGGACTCCAGGGGGCAGCGGTTTCCAAGAAAACACCACCGGACTACGGTAGAGGAGGTAAAGAAGAATCCCACTATGGGTCAAGTGGGAGGATATCTTGCCTGCCTCGGCGGGTGAGCAGCGTTTCTGCTCGGGCACTGACACTGCAGAGCCAGTAGTCTGTCTTATCAGACGGCCTCACCATTGGTATAATAAAATGGTAGCAGGAGAACATGCCGTTACATAACGGAGATGGCTCTAGCGCGCTGATTTGGCGTATCCAAATCCTCCATTTCTCCCTGGGTGACCGGCAGCTATCCCCTATGGGAGTCTTGTGAGAGGGGGGAGGAATCCCACCTGGTTGCTACCCCGGCAACTTTGGTCTTGGATCATTGATCCTTGATCTTGAATTATTATTATTATTATTACTCTATCTAGACTGCAAGTATTCATATCGCAGCAACCCGAAAATGTAGGGTCAGTTGCTCGCCTGAAAACGAATCTGCTCAATACGCAGGAACCTCCCAAGCTGTCGTTCATGACTTTGACGTGGTATCGAGATCAACCTAGCATCCATTTTGTTCATGGGCGGCAGCAAGGTGGTGGATGGCGAAGTGTTTTGTTTGTGTGTTTTTGTTCTTTGGTGTAAGAATTCCACCATTAATAATACTGAAGATGTTACTTTTCATCGGTGAGTTTGTGGGCAATGAATAATTTATTATCCCAATCTGCTTTCATCAGTTGAGCGGTATTTAATTCAAATGGAATCATGCACGTTTTGTATATTCATCCAGCTGTGAAGAATTTGAGTTCAGGCGTAAGGTGCCATACCTGCTGATCTATTTTAGACGATTTTGGATTAAGAGTTTAGTCATTCAATAATGATTATAGAATTCCTAAGAATGAGAGAAATTAATCGTCTGAGGCTATCAAGTCCGTATGACACGGACCAGTTTTTCATCCATTTTCTGAATGAGAATTTGTATTCAGAATTTACTGCAGCATGTATTACAGAAACAGAGAGTCTGAATGCAAAATTGGATGAAAAATAGAACATGTCCTATTTTTAATTCATTTTATGTTGAAGCGCATGCGCATAACGCCGTTATTTAACTTTCGAATTGTTTGTTTTGTTTTGAAGTGAGAAACAATTTTATGGGGATATGGTAATGTCACTTTGTTGGTACTTCGTAAAAGTATAATTGATGTAATATTGGTAAACTACAAATATTGTATGTCCACTGATTAATTTCTCAAATTAAGATTACATATCAGTTCTATAATGGTTTGGTCTTCGGAGCATATGTTGGTGCTTTCATTGAAGAATACCAAAAATATCCCGTTTGTTTGCAATTTCGTTTGCAATCAAACACCCAGAAACACTCGAGTAGACGCTTTGACATGCTTTGAAAGAGATGAAATGTGTATTGAGTACCTACCTCATTCCTGGTGAAATACATTCTCGCCTATTTGTATCTTTTTTAGTTTATTTTGTCTAGAACAAAAAAGGGTTTCCAAAATGGTGTTCACTCTGTACCATATTCAGAACTCCTAGCCCACGGGTGTTTCTTCTTTGGAGAGATTCACGAGACTTTTTTTAATATTTTTCCATCCAGATTTTTTGAAACAAATACGATGAGCATAGCACAAACTTTTACAGAACTGCAGACAGATATTCTTCGACATAAACTATTATTCTTATACCATTATTCAATTTTGAATTATCTTCTTCCAAAAATATATTTTGAGGTTACTATACACGCACAAGCGGCATGTGCATCTGCATATTATAATATTTCCATGATTATTCAATAACATGCGCATGCCCCTTGTCACAATATCTTATCTGTGATCTTATGTCGTGTCACACAGCAGAGAATTTTCCCACAGAAAATGATTCAGATTATTCTGAATGTTTTATTGTGTTCAATAATGATCCATTTTATGAGTGAAAAACTGGCCCGTGTCATATGGACTTTAGGAGACCTTTTCAGACCTTAGCTACTCAGGAAGGAAAATTATGTTCAGATCATTTTATGCCAGACAGCTTTGTGATGCTTTAATGACTTTCTCAAATCTGAGTGTTTGGAAGCCATGAGACCTGAATTTCATTCGTTTCTCACTACTTTATGTATAGTTCATGGTATAGTAGAACCCTCCCAACTTTTTTCTTCGATACGCCTATGTTCCTCGGATTCATGAGTGTAACATGACAGGTCCTAAATGCGCATGAATCAGTTTCACCAGTTCGATATCCTGAGATTCCTGAGTGGCTCACCTTATTCCTTATAGAATTGGAGGTCTTAATCAGTCTATAAGTCGGTGGATTGAACGCATCAACGAGAGACTCTCCCAGTTCGAACGAAACGTTCGACAAAGGCATAGTTACGGCCCCAGATTCACTTCGACTGGAAACTCGGTTCAATATAGGCATTAAAGTCCCAGCAGATAGTAGTTATAGCTACACAAGTAGCAATAATTCAAGGGATAGACAACATTGACAGAGTTTAGAAGAATCGGAATATACAAATAGCGCTTAGGTCAACATTGATGAGGAATCACAATTAATATCTATAGGTGGAAGATCAGCTACTACTGATCTTCAGGATCAGGATGCACTAGCCGTACATGTGGACTTCCATTTAGAGAAGAAGGTTTGCAGGCTTTGGGGGAAGATCTCTACAGTAAAAAAGCCAATGAATTTGAGCTTCACCCTATTCTTCAGAACAGGTGGCTGGATATATTAGTCGTGTTCTTTTTACCAAGAATCTCAACTAATCTCAGCTCACCTCAGTTGGTATGTGAGATGTCGGTGTTCTTTTTATCTCTCTCAAAATGAGATTGTCTGAGATTTTTACCTCCCTCCTTCCCGATCAAGCATAACCTCGGAGGAAATCTCAAATTGAGATAATTGTAAATTTCTTAAAGTGGAGGTATAGAAATGCAAATAGCAGAGATTTATTCCTGTGGTTTGAGGTTATGTTATATGGTCGTTGTAAATAAAAAAATAAAA